TGGCGACCTGACCTTTGACCTGACCTGAAAACTAAACAAAGCTTTTCCGTCATTATTTTGACGCTCTTTCGATTGCCGCTTACCGCATGTCGCTACGTGGCCCAGGAGCCAAGTTAGAGTGGGTCGCGTGAAAACGCCCCCCCCCCCCCCCAGCATGACACGGAAAACACAGGCCACCAGCACGGCGCGGTTTAACTAATAGGTAATGGAGAGGTCGCAAAATTGACCTGTCGCTCAATGTAGATATTTTGTCTGGGGATTACGGAAGGCGAATGTTCGATCATGCACACTCACATCATCAAAGGTCGTCTTCTATACTACGTCGGCAGAGGAAATCCTTTACCTCAGTGCCACTATATGGGACAGTCTCACGCCTCATCCATCTGGCACTCATGCAGTCACCCATGTCCACAAGTAGGGGCTGCGCGCACTAGACATCGAATTTAAGGTGATTTGTGGAGAAAAAAGAAAATCCAGAACGTATGTAAGCGTTCAACTTCGGTGGCCTCTGACTGCAGCCGCTGCTAGTATGACAATCAGTTGGGATCTCATGGTGGATCTTATGGTCTGAAATGTTCAAGTCTTTCCTGGATTCCAATTTCGGCAATAAGTCGCAGCGTGAATCCTTCATACTACGTGCGGTCTTAGATTCTAAGCACGGCCACTCCGGTCGACCACAGGCTGCAGCCCACATGTCACTTTGGATCAGTGAGTGAACTTGTATAATTTGTTGCAAAGAATAAAAAATGTGCTCATCGATCAATGTATGTTTTACCGTTTCGAATTCGCATCGCTGCGTTTTTTGAGAATAAAATGTCCGTAGCCTGAGCTCGTTTTCTATATCGTGCTAAATATTCATCAAGATCAAGTTTTTTTTTATAAAACAACACCGGGCTGCAAATTGCATTAATTGGATTTTATGACAAATCAGCGAAACCTAGTTTTTATACTCGTATTTTGCAGCACCTAGTAAATCATGCATGAACATGACGTTACATTTTAGACATACGCCCATGTCGCGAGCTGACAATGGCGCCCCCCTCAAGGGAAAAAGTCGCCCCCTCGAGCACCATGGCCCCCCTTTCGCTGATTTCTGGATACGCCACTGGTTACCACCCTGTCGCGTTTTTGCGTGTGAATAAAAAACCGCGGCGCGCAGCGCCACGCCGCTTGGAGTAGCTTTTTGAACATCAATTTTGGACAATGTGTGAAATTTTTGACCCCAGGTCATGTCAGGTCAGGTCACCAGGTCAAGTTAACCCGCGCCCCACTGGGGTCTGCGTATAACGCGCCCTACTGGGGGGGGGGGCTCTTCATAGCCCCCCCCCTAACTCCGAAATTACTGGGCCGATCGTCAAAATTCAAACGGCGTCTGATAGCCCCGGAAAAACTGTCGTGCGAAACCTAATTTCATTGACTTCAAGGTCACCGATGACGTCACAGGTCAGGTCAAAGTAAAAATTATTAGCTTTTATTATTAAAGCTTATTATTAAAGCTTATTAAAGCTTATTTTATAATATAAAGCTTTTAGCAATTATTTTGGCTTGTTCACATTTTGGGCTCTGGCCGCCGTCTTACCAGTCAGATCAGGCTCATTTTTAGTTTACACACTCGTGAACAGACGCTTTAGATACTCTGAGGGTACCAAACTTGTACTTTGATTTTCAGGTCAGGGTCAGGTCATCACAGGTCACGGAAATATTATATCATGCGTCGGTCACGTGACACATGTTTCATGGTTCATTTACGCCATATATTTCGAATTTGATGTCGTTTGTGTCATTCGAGGTCATTTTGAGTTGAATTTAGCTTAGGTCAGGTCACTTTCAGGTAAAAAAAGGTCATATTTTGAAGTTAATTTTTTTTTCAACAAAAAGGGTGTCTATTGGATGCAGTTTGAGCTCAGGAACACGATGGTGCTATTTATATTGGTGTACGATGTCAAAAACGTACTGAAAAATTGATTTGAAAAAAAAAAATTATAATTGTTTTTTTTTGCAATAGTGCGTATAACTGGGCCATTTTTGAAGATATTTAGCTGAAACTTGCTATAGGTAGTAGGTCACAAGCATGTATTCTATCACATATATTCCGTTTTTTTTCTTCAAAAAGTCAAAAAGTTTTTTAAAACAAATCTAAAAATATAAAATTTGAATTTATTATATATAATTTTCAATGTTTTCAGAATTTTGAGAATCCGAGATAGCAGTTTGATAGCACAGTCTATTGTGAGTCCTCTCATGCAAAGAAATTGAATATAGCTTAAAACTGAGCTCTTGGGAGCGATTGCCGTGGCTCAATGTTTTGCGTCGAAATCGGCCGAACATGACGTTACTCTGACGTCATTTCCGGCCGACCTATGATAGATGCGAAGTTCAAATTTTGACACAAGGTGTCAACTTGATGCAGCCGAAGGTACTGAAAGTTTGGCGTCGATACGTCAAGCGGTTTGGAAGTTATTGCAGAAAAACGGGAGGGGGCTATGAATAGCCCACCCCCCCAGTGGGGCGCGGGTTAACTGACCAAGCCTAAAAAAGTTTGCGATGATGTCCAGCCTGCAGTGTTTGTCAGAAAGGTTTCAAACTTGGTGGATTGCATGATGTATGGGCGCATATAATTTGTATATCTCGGATTTTTTATATCCGTGACCTAAGGTCAGACCAGTGGCGTGACCTTACCATTATAAGTCAATGGAGAAAAATGAAAATGTCTCTAGATCCGTGTGTACGCATAGGAACAGTCCAAATATTTCAGAATCACAATGATTTGGACCACCCGTGACGACCAAGGTGTCTTTTTTGCTGATAGCCTCTAGAAAGGTCATCCGAGGTCATTTGAGTCTACAAACAGATTTTTGCCAATAACTCTCGATTGGAAAGAGAGGACGCTGGGGATGGCCTCATTGTGTTTGTCTTGTTGAGACGGCATCGAATAATATGCAACATGACCTTTTCCGGTCAGGTCATGACCTTGACCTGAGGTCAAATTTTCAAGTTGACCTTTCAAGGTCAAATTATAATTCATTCGACGCGTCTCGGCGAGAGGAACACGATTCTAACAATAGAAATGTCGTGGCTTTCCTCAGTCAAAAGTTATTGTCGAAATACACTTTTCGTAAAAACAGGTATTTATGGAGTTTTTGCCCTCTGGAGGCTAAACCGTTGACCTGAGGTCAATTTTGATGATGACCTTATCAAAAGAAGAGTTCAAAAGCTATCGATTGCCTTTCCATGCGTTTTTCTAGCTATCATGGTTCCTGAGATAAATGCATGTTTTCTGAAAAAATATAATAACATTTGGCAAATTTTGACCTTTGATGACCTCCAGTGACCCCAATATTGCTCTAAGATGAAAATGACCAAAATATTTTCAAACGTTCGCATTGATAGCTATCGACTGCTTTTTAGCGCGTCTTTCTAGCCCTGTTAGTTTTTGAGTTAGAGGTGGGTGGTAACATATGCCCCCCCCCCCCCCCCCACTAGGGCGAAGTTGGCTGAGACCGCCAGTGGGGCGCGGGTTAAAAGCGCCGTCCCCTGGCACGAAAAAGCCCGCTGCACAGCCGCAGTGCGCGTAAGGGGCGGCCGCAGACGAAGGTCACCTCGAGTGGTGCGGTCACCACTGGCCCGCGAATCCACGTTCGTGGCAAAGAGGGCAGCGGTGACAGTCGATTCGCCGCGCACGATCGCACCGTGCGCAGCAGTCAATTCACGTCATTATTCAGGCAGTCATAATTCACGCTTGATTCAGCCAAAAAGTTATTGAACGATTCTTTTTCGATTCAATTTAAAAAATCCCTGATTCAGGGAAAGTATTGTATTTGTTGTGTTCTTTGTGTTGTCATGCAATGATCATCACATGGCAGTATTGTTGATAATAAATTATGTTCACTTCATTTTTTTTTTAGTTAAAAAATCATTAACTTTTTTTTATTCAATCAACCCTGATTCCCAATGCGTTTGATTCAATCATGGCTTGTGAATCGAACAATCCTAACGGTGAATCAAACCTTTTTGATTCAATAAATTCTGTTTGAATCAATCTAATCGATTGAATCACGGGTGAATCGAACACCAGTCAGTGCGCCCCACACGTAAAAAATGCGCAAAATATCCGTATTTTTCGGGCTGCCGACGTAAGGGGAATTATACGTTCCTAAACGGATTTTTCCGATAAGGCCGCCGCGCTGCTCATGTATACGGGGCTACCGAAACGCATTTTTTCGTTCCCTGGCCAGTCGGATATTTCTGTGTAGGCTGAATGACTCATGTAAAGAGGGTAACTGAGGAAACACAATGTGCTAAAATAAGAATTAAACGTGATTAATTGGCTGCACTAGAAGTTGGACGTCCGACGCCTCTTCGCCAATTTAAGTCCATACCAATCTGGGCAAGTCTGCCGCCGGCCGCCGGCACTGGCCAGGGCCGGGGTGTGACGTCATCCGGCCGGCTCGCTGCTGAGTAGTTCCACACTTGGGTAACTGGCTGTCTAACTGGGCCACTGACTGGGTAACTGGCTGTCTAACTGGGCCACTAACTGGGTAACTGGCTGTCTAACTGGGCCACTGACTGGGTAACTGGCTGTCTAACTGGGCCACTAACTGGGTAACTGGCTGTCTAACTGGGCCACTGACTGGGTAACTGGCTGTCTAACTGGGCCACTAACTGGGTAACTGGCTGTCTAACTGGGCCACTGACTGGGTAACTGGCTGTCTAACTGGGCCACTAACTGGGTAACTGGCTGCCTCACTGGGCCACTGACTGGGTAACTGGCTGTCTAACTGGGCCACTAACTGGGTAACTGGCTGTCTAACTGGGCCACTGACTGGGTAACTGGCTGTCTCACTGGGCCACTGACTGGGTAACTGGCTGTCTAACTGGGCCACTGACTGGGTAACTGGCTGTCTAACTGGGCCACTAAATGGGTAACTGGCTGTCTAACTGGGCCACTGCCTGGGTAACTGGCTGTCGGGCCGGCAGCTGCGGGTGCGCCGGACTCTTACCTAGCCGGGGCGCGGCCTGCGCGCTGGCCGCCGCCGCGGCCGCCGCTCCGACCGCCACCTTGGAGGCGCCCAGGCTGGCTGAAACGGCCGTCTGGGGCGCCGCCGTCTGTGAGCGGGCCTTGGAGACGGCGGCGCACAGCATGGGCCCCAGGTAGCCGTACTCGGCCTGGTACTGCTCCACCACATCTGGCGACGAGCGCAGCTGCTTCAGCAGCGGCGTCAGGCCACGCTGCGGACCGACCGAGCCACAGAGGGTCAGGTCAGAGGGTCAGTACAGAGGGTCAGTACAGAGGGCCAGTACAGTACAGAGGGTCAGTACAGAGGGTCAGTACAGAGGGTCAGTACAGAGGGTCAGGTCAGAGGGTCAGTACAGAGGGTCAGTACAGTACAGAGGGTCAGTACAGAGGGTCAGTACAGTACAGAGGGTCAGTACAGAGGGTCAGTACAGAGGGTCAGTACAGTACAGAGGGTCAGGTCAGAGGGTCAGTACAGAGGGTCAGTACAGTACAGAGGGTCAGTACAGAGGGTCAGTACAGAGGGGCAGTACAGTACAGAGGGTCAGTACAGAGGGTCAGTACAGAGGGTCAGTACAGAGGGTCAGGTCAGAGGGTCAGTACAGAGGGTCAGTACAGTACAGAGGGTCAGTACAGAGGGTCAGTACAGTACAGAGGGTCAGTACAGTTCAGAGGGTCAGGTCAGAGGGTCAGTACAGTACAGACGGTCAGTACAGTACAGAGGGTCAGTACAGTACAGACGGTCAGTACAGTACAGAGGGTCAGTACAGAGGGTCAGTACACAGGGTCAGTACACAGGGTCAGTACAGAGGGTCAGGTCAGAGGGTCAGCACAGAGGGTCAGTACAGTACAGAGGGTCAGGTCAGAAGGTCAGTACAGAGGGTCAGGTCAGAGGGTCAGTACAGAGGGTCAGTACAGTACAGAGGGTCAGTACAGAGGGTCAGTACAGTACAGACGGCCAGTACAGTACAGAGGGTCAGTACAGAGGGTCAGTACAGAGGGTCAGTACAGAGGGTCAGTACAGAGGGTCAGGTCAGAGGGTCAGTACAGAGGGTCAGTACAGTACAGAGGGTCAGTACAGTTCAGAGGGTCAGTACAGAGGGTCAGTACAGAGGGTCAGTACAGTACAGAGGGTCAGTACAGTACAGAGGGTCAGAACAGTACAGAGGGTCAGTACAGAGGGTCAGTACGGAGGGTCAGTACAGTACAGACCAGGGTTGTATACGACTCAAATTTCTGGTGAGTCGATTCAAAAGAGTTTCCTAAACTGAGTCGACTCGACTCATGATTCCAAAAACTTAAATTGAAATGATTCGATTCGACTCTTGATTCAAACATGACAAGAAATATATGAATCGAAGCGACTCATGATTCAAGCATATTTTCAGTTTAACGATTCGAATCAATTCATGACTCAAGAGTTCTGTGAAATAATTTGAATCGACTCATGACTCGATTCTGACTCAACTCAATGGACGGACTCATCAACATGTCAAAAATAAAAAGTTGAAAATTGACCTTTTTTCTTAGCCCTCGTTTAGTTATGTATAGTATAAACGATTTTTTATGCTTTCAATGCACACTTATCACCAGCACAGTGAATTGGGGTCACATATAACCATTACCATCGGATTCGGCGTGAAAAATAAACCATAAAACATGTGTCGCACGCCCATGTAGTGGAAAGTGAAAACCGTGACCTTTCGTGACCTGACCTGACCTTGACCCGTACTTAGTATGACCCCTATACGCACATGGTACCTTCACTAGGTCTTTGAGATCATTTTTGGTGAGTTTCGAGCAGCAGCTATCGATTCCGCTGTCCGTAAGCCTAATCATGCAAAACCCTAGAATTTGACCTTTGACTTGACCTTGACCCGAAAGTTGACCCCAATCTTAAAATCTTAAGAGTGCTTTGGGAAGGTCTCGTAGAGACCTTTCGAACGCCGCCTCGCGGGGCTCGATGCGACCATTGGTTCTCGAGATAACAGGGGGGGGGGGTCGGATCCGACCCCCCCCCCCCAGGCTGTCGTGGGTACGGAAATAGCCCAGGCGGTGCCGGGATAATCGTTTGGCGTCAAAATACCTTTGAAATAAAAGTTTCGGCAGGTTCTAAAACACACTGCCAGAATATCGTCAACGAGAGTTCACGCATTTAAGAATAATCGCAAAAAAGTGGGGTCCCAAGGGGTTTGACTTCCATAATAGCGCACAGTAAACATTACAGCACACATTGACAAATACATCGGCGTTGTTCCTAGCATTGTTTACTTTACAAAATAGGCCAATACGATAATTTACTGTTGAGTTCGGGACGGTTCTTTTTTATCAGCAGCGATTCAGCTATTCTACGGTCTGGATGGTCTTAAAGGGACTATCCCACCTTCTAAAATGTTGTTAAAACCAGTTAAATTGTGCCCGACTTTATATTATTTTATTTTATTTTTTTATTTTATTTTATTTTAGATTGGATGACCAGGAACACGGTCCTGGCATTTATTTTTCATTAAACATCTTAGGCTTCCCATATTCCAAACACAAACTTTCAAATATGTGACGTCACAGCCCAAAATTACCTCCTTCCCCAGGCCACATTACTGTCATAAAGTTGATTATTACGGAGCGAGCGAAGCGAGCGTAGTCTTTCCTTAGATTAACGGAAATTTCTGAGTATGAGCGGCCGGCCGGCCGGCCGTGCGGACGCTTTTGCGAGGCTTATATCTCAGCAACCACTTGACCGATTTACATGCAGTAATTTTTGTAGGGTAGCGTCATTCCTTCTACCAAGTATTGGACTATTCCCGATGCATGTGGGAGACTCCTTATGCACGTGCCACGTGCAAAACGAAGAGGTGTCAGTTTTGTAATTGTTGCAATATATCGGTAACTACTTGGCCGATTGCGCTGAAAGTTGGCATGTAGGTAGGCACCCACTAGGCACTGCATATTCATGTGCCAGAGTTGGGGTGCTGCTGCAGTGCGCACGTGCAGGGGTCGTTTCCAGATCTCGAGAACGGCTCGACCGATTGCGCTCAAATTTGGTACACAGTTAGGGACCGATTAGTAGAGTGCCGTGCACAAGTCAGTTGGGACCCATTTTGCACGTGCGCACGTGCAGGGTGCCGCTTCCAGATCTCGAGAACGGCTGGGCCGATTGTGCCCAAATTTGGCACATCGCTAGAGACCGGTTAGTAGGGTGCCGTGCACAAGTCAGTTGGAGGTACCCCCTCGCAATTTCGCACGTGCAAGGCCCGCCCTCTCGCTCGCTCCGTTAGTCGCCCCAAAAGGCGTTATACTGGTCTATATTACTATTTGAGGAGGGTGCGTCTGTCCGTTACCGAGGTCACGACTTGGTGGTGCTTTGCGTGGACTACAGGCCAGACCGTTGCACTTAGCGCGGTGAAATTTGCACAACTTATAGATCAAGGATGCGCGACGTGCCTTTGAGGGGTCTGGGCTCGATCGGGTCGATAGGGAGCGCGTGGCGCGTGCTCAAAAAGTGCAAATTCGCGTCATAGACTTTACATGTATAAATCGGCGTGCGAAATCGGGCGAAAACGGCTAATTTTGGCCGACACGGGTCCAGTCCCCGTGCAATATCTTGGTGACCAGGGGTCCGACCGGCACGGGGAAAACAGCATCGTGTACAGAATTGAACGGGCTATTGAATGGTGTACAATGCAGAGGATAGCACGCGCCACGTGCACCGGAGAGGGCACTTTTATTTGAAAAATTGCGGTTTTTGAGGGATTTTGGAATTAATTTTATTTTTAGGTGACCGTTAAACGGAGCGAGTTGAAACAACGCCTGTTGACAAGAGAAATGTACCGCCTCTCATGGGAAAATTGTGAATAGCTAATTGATCGACGACAAGGTGGTATAAATCGCTGGAGAAAATGGTTTTTGTCGATGATGTGTCGCTTTATTAATTACACGGGTTTTGCTGCATAACCTGATACGTTTCGCAATTGAAACTGGTACAGTTTGAAAGAGCATTCAATTTTGTCCAAGATACACCCAACATTTTTGCATGACAAGCAACAATATTCTAAAAAATGCAAATGTTTCAAACCACTATGTAGTCATTTTTACCGAAATTCATCGATGGTCCTCAAAAGACTTCACGTCAGTTTTCGAATCATTCTAAAGTAGAACGCATGATAATACGACACGGGCACCTCGATGCGATGTATCTTTTTTGTTTTATTACAAAATGCTTGGCCGTCAAAAAGCAATCGAACGAAATGGATACCAACCAAATTGACACAGACCAACCCAATACCCACTGGTAACAAATAACCCATCCTCGCGTTGCGGAGCACGCGGGTCACCCTAGTTTTTACTATGTAGGCACCACAACAAAGTTCAGACCAAGTTTTAAGCGATTTTTCAACGAACAAACCCATTTAAATCAGAATGACTAAACGAGGTGACGTCACACTAACGGTCGCTCCATGTTGAAGATAGGGCCTTGCGCAAGGCCCATTTTCAAATGAAGAGAACGAATTTCTTCAACACCAAGAGGCCGCGGGGGTTGCAACCTAGATAGATAGTGGTTTCTGAACCTCGCCGCAAACTTGGCTATCTCAACTCAAACCCCATGTTAAAGGTGGGATAGTCCCTTTAAAGGGATTGTCCCACCTTTGCATTAGTTCTGAGTTGAGATAGCCAAGTTGGCGGCCAGGTTCAGAAACCACTATATATCCTGGTCGCAATATCCTCAGTTTCGTGGTGTTAAAGAAATTAGTTCCCTTCATTTGAAAAGTGGGCCTTAGCTAAGGCCCTATCTCTTAACTATTAACGGCCATTTGATGACGTCATTACTCATTTGCCTTTTGAACGCCTGTCACACATTCAAGTGAAGTATCACTTGATTCACGAATAAGCCAATCAGAGACACTCTTGTTATTGTATGAGCCGCGTCATATTTGAGAGCAAATATATTGCTGCCCAATTTCCCCTCACATTGACATGAAGTAAATCCTTCATTACGTCACAGATTCGATATAAATGACGTCACGATGAAATATGAAAGTCGCAATATCTCAAAAAGTATACGATGAAAACGCGTAAAAACTTGCAGAATTCGTCAAAATATCATGAGTAACATTTCCGAATCCTAAACGGTACTTTTTGAAGGTGGGATAGTCCCTTTAAGACTTGTACAACATTTTAATTTTGAGCGGAGCAGACGTCCCATCTACGATGCTGCCACTGTGTTTTTCCGCAAAGTGATCACCCAACGGAGTGTCTGGGGTCCTGTTGGTCATGCCGCGCACCCCCGGTCCCCCCCCCCGGTTTCTCCGGCCCTGGGGGGAGGGAGGGAGGGGGAAGTGAGGAGGGAGAGGGAGAGAGAACCTCCACACGGAGGGCTAGGGGGACGGGGGGCTCGTTAGTGTCCCTCCAGTCCGGCGTACCGTTCGCAGGCCGGTTGGCCCGGTTCACTTACTGCGAACAGCTGTTTGAGATGCGTGGTGGCGAGTCTGTCGGCAGGGCTGACGACCGGCTGTTCGGCCAGCCGCTCCAGACGGGAACCCAGCGGCTTCACTTGCGGCAACACGAATGACTTGATTACTTCAGGGCCCAGCTCGGACAGACCTGTCGGACGGCAAGGGCAGGGTCCGTCACAGACTGTCACAGACTGCCGGCTCCGTCACAGACTGTCACAGACTGCCGGCTCGGCCACTGACCAGCCAGGGCGCCGTAGGTGGCCGCCAGCGATGACCGCTCGCCGCGCAGACAGCCGGTGAACAGGCGCGTCACGCGCGTCTGCATGTTGTTGGTGGACGTGTTGAAGTTTTTGCAGATCTGCGCTAGCAGTCGGGAGGCGAAGTCTCTCAGTGCCCAGTGGTTGTCGGCCTCGGGCCGGGCGCACAGCTGTCGAGACAGGATGCAGCTGGCCACCGACGGAATCAGCTCGTGAAGCTGTCGGAAACAGGGGACGGGGCCAGTTAGGTGCCGCATACAAGGTACGGGCGAGTAGGGGGACACACGAGGGACGGGCGAGTAGGGGGACACACAAGGTACGGGCGAGTAGGGGGACACACGAGGGACGGGCGAGTTATGGAATTGAGAAAACTGAGCAGCGACGCTTTTGACTAGTCATTCTAAACACACTAAAACATCGTGTAACAGGGTAATATTTGCACACTGAACCAGGAAATTGCACTCGTTACCCCACCTTTGACACATGAGGTCATCTTAGGACCCCGCGCACCGTTGGGGCTCCTGGGTGTCCAGTCCTAGAGGTGACAAAATGTGGACCCGGGGACCCGGTCTATGGAACAGGTCTGGATCCCGGTTCCCTAAGAATTTTGGCCGGGTTCAACCGGGTCCTATCATTTAGGTACCTGTGCTTCACATAATTTGAGACCTATCATGCTTTGGCAAAATATTTAATGAAGTTTCCAGTTCATAACGTTCAGTGCCAGTTTTATGTTGCAGCAGCTTGGGCAGCTTATTCTGTAACATACTGGTCAATCTTGCTTCAATGTCATTTCTTTTGACTTACAACAAAATATCATTACGGTCAACCGGTGACCTCTGTGATCAGGTCAAATGCCATGAACTAGGGATTCAATTTTCGGTCAATAAATCCTTAATCCCCCAAATGGTCGCAGCACCGTCATTTCGGTACCTCACACTTATCTGGCACCATCGTGTTTGTGATGCTCAGCCGCGTAGAATGTGCTGATGATATTTTGGAAAGCTCAACTTCACGCGCTTACTTCAGGTCAAGGTCAGAACAAAGTCGTTCAGGTCACGAATCTGGTCGATTGAGATGATTTTGAGTACCTACATTGATGACCCTTCCCTCAATGCCCTCATTTTGTTTGTAATTGAATTTCCCTTTTACGCTGACATTTTGTCAGCATTTGCCGGATTTTCAATTATTTTTAATTATACCTGACATTTTTGTCAGCCTTAATTAAACGTAGTGTATTTTGATACGAAACGCCCAGAAACGAGTTTATACTGACATCGGAGCATGTCAGCCTTTGCCATGCAAATGCTGACATGAGGAATTAAACGATTTGGGCATCTGAGCCGGACGCCATGGTTTATTTTAGTTTTCCCTTCAAATTCGTTTTGGGTGGCCAACAGCCAACGCTATATGGAAGCAATCTAATCGATTGCGATTGCTTTTGCCGCATTTCCTACTGTCACACATAAAAACCGCTGAAATATTGCGCCATTAATTGTCACCATCTGTGCTCTCATTTCAAAAGATAGGTACTTGTATATGGAAGCAAAAACAACCCCTGCATAATGACGTCATCAAAAACAGTTTATTGATAATTTTACCAATTAGAAGGCCAATATTTGGATTATTTGCACTAAAACGTGATAATATGCATATAATTGACCTTTGGAACACATTTTACTTACCATGGTACATGTAATTCTCGAGATTGGAAAAAAAATATTTGACGTCATGTGGACCCCACATCATTTTGTTATTCACGCTGGAGACAAAGCTGACGACTGGTTAGGTTTTTCGGGATGCATGTTTATTAATCCCACCCAGAAATGACAAACAAGCCCTCTGATTGGCCAGTTTTGGCTGACAGACGCAGAATATTTGTCAGCCATAGAATACTATGCTTTAGCACTTTTTCAATAATGACGCAAACGTTACATTTGCAGGTTAGGGCAGCTAAAATATTGTAATGGATCTGACAAGTTAAATATAACATTTTTTGGAAGCCCGTACATGTTGTTTCTAGTGAGTTAGGTGTTACAAAGTATTGAAAGAAATGGTTATTTTCTATTTAATTAAGAACAAAAGCTTTTAGCCCCTAAAATCCGCCCGACAGTCTCCAGAATCCTGCGTACGGGGACACCGCAGTCTCGGTTTCTCATGTTATCGCAATGGGGAAAAGGTGAAATTTTAAATGAGTCAGTATCGTGTTAGGAAGTACGGATGCTTTCAAAACTAAATGCCTTTCAATTCAAATCCCAGAATATCCTTTCGCGGAAATAGCCCTTCTCAGCCTGTCGGCCCATTCTCTAACGCTACAAGTCTGAACAGTGAGCGTCTCATGCGTTGCTCACGTATCGCGATAAAAAGGACGGTGTCATATAATCAAATGAATTTTTCTTATGCACAGAGCATTTGAAACCTCACACCAAACGCCTCCCTTGTTTTCTACTGCTGCCTTTTTTCACATACCTACCCAATGACCGTTCCCTCGACGTTCCTTATCGACTGCCTCACATTCAACGGCCATATCCCACCCAAGATTCATCCCACCTACCCTGAAAACCAATCGGAGGCACTTTCAATCGTCCCTTGAATAAAATTGCTACCTACACGCATTTAGAGGAGAACGAGGCCCAGAATAGGCATGCATAAAACGATCGGTTTTGGTCCCCATGGAATAATCCAGCAGGCCCAACATCATATTGATTAAAGAACATTTTCGAGGACATGATATCTATTAGATATTATTTTGCACAGGTATTGTAAAAATAACGTCCGCGTATCGCAGCTCTGAATCTGCTGGTGTCAGTCCCATGCAGCAGCCACCAGACCACCGCCCCGCCGCCTGCCGTTCGCTGATCATACAGGCCGGCTGTCCCAGTGTCTCATCAAACGATCACAGCTGACGCCTGACAGCATTTATGAAATGCCAAACAAAAACAGACACGCAATATTGTGGATCATACCAGCTCTTTCAGTCATGCGCGTGGAGATATATCGGTAGTTTTCCTATCACATATCACACTGAACAGAGCAAAATCGTAGACACGCAGCAATAAATAATGCATTAACAAGCACACCGTCACCGATCGATGCATCGTGGATTACACCGAATAATACATCACTGCTTTAACGTTCCCCCAGGTGGATGGGGGCGTTTTTGGCCACACCTGACAATTTTGTGCTTGCATAAATAAAACGACACGAAACTTAGTATAGCTTATGTATAATGCATCGATTCGCATCATTTGTGAAAAAAATGTAACCCCATGTCACCTAAGGTCAGGTCAGGTCACCATGACGTAGAAGTTTGAAACTCGAGCTATTGCATGGGAGAATCAGTACCAACATCTTGAATATCTTTAATTTTGATATCGGTGACCGAGGGTCAGGTCAACTTTGAGACGTCTCCAGTTTCAGTCAGTATGAGGAACTTGAAATGCTCTGCTTTTGAAACAAAAACACTCAAACGTCGGGATCTATCGTATGCTCTTGAGGTCATCTCAGGTCATGTAACGTCTCAAACAGTTTATTTTTGTAACTTGATTTTAGATGGAACGTGGCCAGAGCGCTAAAAACATCATAATCATAGGCGGCGGAACGGGGAGGGCACCGGGGCACCGTGCCCCCTTTGATTTTGGCATTTTAAGATTAGCCCTATGGGCGTTGCATGGAAATAATGGGACCAAAAGTCGGCAATGCCCCCTTAATTGAAGGTGTTCCGCCGCTACTGATGTTTATCTCAATCTCAATGTAACGAATCGACTGACATGCAATATGGCATTTTCTGCGACTTTGACCTGAGGTCAAATTTATTAAGTTGACCTTGTTAGGTCAACAAGACGAGAGAAACGCAGTGCCGGTGAAATAAACGTAATAAATTAAGGTTGGTATCAAAAGTTTTAAAAGAAAAGACGATTTCCGAAGCACGCCGATTGTTCAGTTTTTGCCCTTTGGAGGCTTAACCCTAGTTGACCTTAGCTCAAATCTAAGAACTTGAAAGATTTTCGAAAGAGCTATCGAATTCGCTTTTCCGCGGCGCTGTAGCTTCTTTGGTTCCCGAGTTATGAACCAATTTGTGAAGTTGTCAAAATCGGGAGCCAAAATTCGTCATCATTTTACTTTTGGTGACCTCCAGTGACCTCAGCGATGACCTGATCGAAAATGACCTGTATGATTCTGAAGAAAAAATAGCGAGCTATATATTGATTTTACTGTGTCTTTCCAGCTTTGTTACATTCCAAGATAACCTGGTGTGGCCGAATACGCCTCTCCCCCCTCCCCCACCAAGTTGGCTGAGGGCCACCCGGGCGCGGGTTAATAACATGGCGCAACAGGTTCTGTTATAAACTTGTCCTTTTCACACATAGGCGACACCTAGATATCCCAGCCAACGCCTATCACCAACCTGGCGGGGGGCTTTGGCCAGCGATCGCCGATCGGGGCCAACGCGGGCTCTTACTCGTCCACGATCAGCACGAATGATGAATTACAGCTGCTCCAGACCGCCACTTCAATCCAGCGTGTAATCCCCAGTCCACATCAGAACCACTAGTGAAACTCTACTGAGTGGGCCAACTGCACTGCATCTTTGACCTCCTTTGCAGCTCTGGCTTTTCAGAATTTGAACAGCCTTCTCTTCCCCACCCTTCTGTGCTGATGAATGATGATCCTTTGAAAACCTGGAAAAAAAGACAGTACAGAGAGATGAAACTGTTTTGCTATGGGTCTGTTCCAGTCGCACTTCCTAACACATCTAAACTCCTCCAAGACCAAGATAGAGGAGGTTGGAGCAGGGCCCTCCTTGGCTTTGTAGGGGCGAAAGCTGCCACTGGAACAGGGAAGCAATCTTGGAGGAGTTAAGAGGTGTTAGGAAGTGCGACTGGAACAGACCCTATGACAATGTCTGTGCATAGAACGAGCAGATGGTAGAAGTGGTCAATTGGTGAGTGGAACAAATGCAAATGTCAGGAAAGCAGTCATATTTTGTGATAGACATGATGCAGATGTTGGCCAAGCTGACAAGGCAGCTATAATTACCAGCTTGTTACACTATAACTCATCATATTTTCATGTTTAACAGAGGGAATATAATGTAAAAAAGCCTTAGCCAGATGAAAGTAGATAATATAAGTTCGATAGAAAAATGTTGATGCAAGTAATGTGGGATTTGTGGTTCTTAAAGGCTAGGTAAATGTATTCCCTGTTCAACAATTCTTCA